ACCTGTTCACTATCCCAACATTCGGTGTCCCCATTAAACTATGAGAATTATGTCTTTCTGTGCCTGAGTACATAATTAACATACCTAGATAGATATCATTTTGAAGTTTTATCTCAGACTATCTGAAGTCCATCCTTACAAATAGAAAAAACAGATCAATCTCGACAAGAATAGATTATCAATGATCAGTGGTTATTGACCTATTGACCTCCAATATTTACATATTAAACTCGCTGTCAACACCATATATAGATCTCGTCTCAGCTGGTTCAGTAAGAGGAACTTCAAATTGGATGGTAAATTGAAACAAAAGTTGTTTTTTTACTTTTACTTTTAACTAATAGAACTTACTACTCGGAACCCTTTTCAAAATGACAATGCGACGATGGATAAAACATAATTAAACTAACAGAGGACATAAGTAGAAGTAATGTTATAATACTTTTGGTAATTTATACTATATTATGCATGTTAGAACAGTAACTGAAAAAAACTCTTTTTTATTAAATTGTTGACAAACGAAACGTTATTCTAAAAAGTGACAAGTGTGGCTGAAATATAACTTCTATAAGCATAGTTAAGAAAATATTAAGATGACTTCAATAACGCTCTTTTCATTTAAATACTAGCGATGGAAGGCGGAGAATTTGGAAAGCCAAAGGTCACAAAATAGAAGCATCTTATAATAGAAAACTGCTCGCATTCAGCAGTATTTAAGCACTTTAAACTGGTTGGACACATTACCACGCACGCTTGTCATACACTTTTGCATTTATGGAAAATCAACACTATCCATACTGACAACAAGTGACCGAAGGAGTGTTTAAGTCTGGACAGATCCAGTACAACATGCAGACCAACTCAAGTGATCATTAGAGACAAGATCAACAATGGAAGGCGACCACTTGAGGATAGACATAATAGGAATTCTGGTGAAGATTAGGACTGTGTCAACAGACGATAGTTGTGAATAATTCTAGAAACCATCTTGGGATTCGGCCACTCGATTGATTCACAGTTTAAATCAGGAAATAGAATTCTGATGTAGGATCAAGAGATATCATCATTTATACCAATGACAACTTACCTGTGATCACAATCTACATAAATAACATTATTAGCTCCAATACCCAGTAATATAGCTGCCCTCTTGATAGAATAATGGCTCTGAAATAAAACAGGATAAAAATGACATTTGCTGGTGTTTCTTCCAGACTCTCTGATTTTTGCTGTATTTTACCAGTAAAGTCTGACTAGAGTGCTAGACTGTTGATTTGTGTGTATTTCCGATTGTGGTAACGCGAAACCCAAAGTAAAGCAATACGACAGCCTCTTTCGATATTCCACAGTTCGTCCTTTCAATATGACACGCTTTGGCTAAGAATAACGTCATTAGAACGGAATGTTGTCGAAAAATGGTTGGATTAAAATGAAGAGGAAACGTTTCAGTATAAAAAAGAAACAAATTTGTAATCTTCTTTTAAACAATTTGGGAGAGAGCAATGCATTTGTGGTTATTTCAAGCGAACAGCTGTTAAGACAAAGAATTGAGAGTTAAAAAAATGATTTTGGCTTAAATTAAAAACTGACGTTAAATTCAATTGACAAAACGACAACAGGTTCAAGATTTAAAAAGACGTGAAGTACGAAACGATAAACAAGTAAAAATCTATTTGAAATGGACAAATTTTCCACTAAAAGCTTTCAACCTTGTGATTATCAGGCGGAAGAAAAAATGTCTGAAATGCTGAGAGTATCTATTAAGATATGGTATATAATCACTGTATATTTTATAATTTTAACCGAGTTTAAGAGATATTAAGTTGTCTAATTGTAAGATGTATTTGCTCATAGAACTTAATACTTCATTCAAAATGAAGAATGGCTTCAGGTTAACATACAATTAAATATATCGACTAATATGTAAAAAGGACCAGATGTCCTTTGACTCTTAAGAAATCAAAGTAACGATATGTATCCTTTCAGGGTGACATAATAACAGAATAGGGTTAGGAAAGCAAACTGTTATTACTTTCAGTGGATCATTTAATCGTATACAAACAAGTTACATTTTGAAAGGAGATATAGTTTGATAATATTAGGGTATATTGACTTGCTATTTAATAGAAACAGTAAATAACACAAATCTGTCAGATATTCAGATTTTCCAACGGACTAACCCCGGGTTCGGTATCTATTGATCTTCTGAAAGGAAGAATTAACACATTTGTCTTTTTTAAAAGCTGGAATTAATTCTGATCTATTTCACTTAAAATTCTTCCAGCTGGCTTTAATAGCATTGATTTGTTCCGGTTTTACACGGAAACACTTAATTTGGGTAGATTTAAAGAAAGATGCGGCTTACCAAGAATAATAATAATTGTTTTTCAAAATTGCGCGTATTGTCATTACGGATGACGGTATTATTCTTAAGGTATAATTTTTATAAGGATGTACATGTATTATTGTAAGGATGGCGTATAATGCTCATGACGATGACGTATTGCACGCATTTCCATTAAGGATGACGCATAATATTGTTCAGGATGACGTATAATGTTTTTAAGGATGACGTATTGTCATAAGTATGACGTATAATATTCATAAGGATGACGTCAATAAGATGATGAAAATTCTTTTCAAGCATGACGTATTGTTGTAGGGATGAAGTAGGCTGCATTGCTACGTCATATGTCATTGCTTATTGCTATCACATAATGGTTAAAAATCACGATGTATCTATTTTAATACTTATATCATAAAGGGTTCCTGGCTGTTTATGATGCATCCAAATGAATACGAAGATATAAGAAAAACTAATGGAATATAACTACCTGTTTTGAAGTAAAAATAACTGGTTCGCCACATCCAAACATACCATTTAATCTGGCCTGGGGTAGATATTTCTGTCTGGCCAGTAAAACACCATAGAAATTAGATATCGCTCCACCTGAATAGACATATTCCAGTTTATCAGATGATAGAGTTAAAGATACATATACTTAACCCACATGTCTGAACCTATGGGTAAAGATACGAGGATATGTGAACACAGAGTAATGAGAAATAGTGGAGAATCCAGGGGAAACAAATGGGTGAAGTTCAAGACAGCTGAAGAGAAACTATTTTTTTTTTACTTTGGCTAATGGTCAAGTGCCATTTCCGACAAATGGTTCAATGCGTACTCTCCATGAGCTTACTTATGTAATATTCAGCAACTGTCTCCTTACTTATATCTGATCGTATACGACCCATACCCCGCCCCACCCCCACTCAAGCCCATCCCATACCCTCCTCAGGACTACATGTAT